TTTGCTTCGACAGTTCCTTCCATTGCAAAGAGCCCAACGTTTTTGCTCTCCTTTTTGCCCCGCTTTTTCCCTCTCTTCATCGTCCTTCACTAACTCCCTTTCTGAATATTTTTTTCCTACATTCACGTTCAGCGTAAAGCTGAACCGTAGCAAGGTGTTCCTCGCACCCCAACATAGTTAATATACTGCTTCCCTATTTACATTCATCGATTCCTTTCCCTCCTCCCCCCCCCCGCCTCATAAACAAATACTATTATAGGAGACGATGCCGAGCACAGGCGGAGAAGCGGGAGAAGGTAAATATCGTGTAGTCAAGAAAAACGCCCATCGCAAGAAAAAAAACGGCCATTACAACATTTAACCCATAAAAACAAAAAGCAATGAAAGCAACAACTCTCTTTCATATAAAAATAAAACTAAAAAAAAGCTGAATGGGGGGAGGTTATATGGGAGGTTCACCCAAATATCTCGTCCACCTTGTTAACGCACATACATAGGTAACCGACAGGGCCCCCCGCCAAATTATCATTTGTCTTGTAATGCTGTTTAACTACTGTTCATCGGTTCCCTGCCTTCAGCCCTCACCTCCGCTACCAAAAAAACAAGCACAGAAAAAAAAAGATCGCTAATAGTACAATAGTATACCGTTAATGTTGCCCCCGGGGGTCCGTATATGCAGCTCTACATGTCGTAGTATATGTGGATGGATCCACATGGCGCACCTTAACAGCTGGAGCCGCTGCCGGAATTGGCAAATACTGAGGCACTCGACCAAGAAAGTTCTTTTTATACTCACTCATAAAGTCACGATTCTCAAAAACCACCTTCCTCTCCAAAGGCTTCAATTGAGGGCGGGGTAGTGCATCAGAAGGATACGCCTTATAGTCTGCATGAGATGTGCTGTGATACATCTCAGGGTCCGTGTGGCACGGACAGAAATAACCCTTCGCAGAAGCCTTTCTATCATCTGCCATTTCTCTTGATACCCGCAAATACGGCTCGGAAGGCTGTGCTACGGCATTAACTGCTTGTGCTCTTGCCCTCTCGTTGGCAGAAGAAGTAGCCCTAGGTGCACCAAATTGTCTTCCAGTAGGCGAAGACAAACGACCAGCACCTAACAAGCTTTCTTCTCCGCTGTGACGAAGAGCAGTATCCGCAGCCATAGCAGCAGACCGGCCATTCAGCTTCAACTGTGGCTCGAAAGCCTTGTGGACTCCTGACTCACGGAGCGGAAAGCATCCGCATCCCCACGGCGGGGCTTCACCAGCCGCACATCCTTCGAAACAGACGATTCTCGCACGTACGCCGTGGGGTC